CTGAAAGAGTGGTTACTCGGCTTTCTCATGTTGGCAACGATCTAACTTAATGTACACCCAAAGTCATTTAATCATGATACATTTCATATTTATTATAATTGCTTCCATAACTATATAATCGACCATACATATATTAAAAATAGGAAATTTACATACATATAGCACCCAAGCTTTATGCATTTACTATCCCACACCTAAATTTTAATTTTTATATTCAAAGCATCCTCTCTATAAGAAAAAAATATAATTCACATTCTCATACATCTTTTCAAACAGTAGGCGTGAGATAAATAAAGGCATAAGAAATGAGTGCTATGCTTGTAAATCTCGATTTAAAAATTCATCAATAGAGCAACTTTAAATCTTGCTAATCCCCGGCGATTCCAAACCCTAATACTTTCCCTGACCCGGAGCCGTTACGCTTACCCAAGCATCCGAGCCATCGCCGGGAACCATGGCCACCACCAACCCCGCTCCATCCCCTCCCAGCACGATCCGATACGAAACATCCACCGCCACATTCTTCTCCCCGAGGTCCAACTCGCCAGCCCCCATCTCCTCCCACCGCGCCACCTTCCCTCCCCCGCCTCCCTTCACCCAAAACCCCACCTTTAGGTCGCCGGAATGGTCGCTGCGCAGGAAGGTTAGGTTCTCGCCGGATGAAGAAGAAACTCCGGCGAGCTCTCCGGCTGTTAGAGGGAGTTGGAAGAGATGGGTGGCTGTGGGGGGTGCGGCGGCGGGGATGGCGGAGAGGTGGGATGGGAGAGGTGAGGGCTTGAAGTTGGTGATGTAGAAGACTGACTGGTGCAGCGGCGAGGCGGCTGGCGGCGGTGAGGCGGCTATGTGTGCGGGACCATTTGAGGAGGAAGCGGATGAGGAAGAGAGGGTCGGCGAGAAGAAGGCTGCAGCTGATGCCGATGGAGTAGCCGCCGTCTTTGAAGTCCGTCACCTGTAGCCAGATTTCAATGGGTATTTAATTTGCAGAATGTTCAGTAATGCTTTCTATGTGAATTGAAAAAAACGAAGCCGTTTGTTCTGCTCAAAATAGAATGTGATGTAAAATCTTTGTAGTTAAATATTTTTTTTATTTGATTTGCAGTATAATGTAAATAATATATTTAAAAAATATTTTTCTTTTCAGGGACGGTGATGGATGGCCAACAGACGGCTGGAGGCGAACAACCGACTGACGAGCGGCATGTCACGGATAAATAATCCCACATCGGTTAGGTGTAAGGCCAAAAAACAGTATTTAAGTCCTAGACTGCCCACCACCCCTAAATGGTGTTAAATTCTGAATTCTGTCAAAATAAATTAAGTTGTAAACTTCAAATTCATTTATATTATATTATATTTATAATTCTTTATACGAAATACATAATTTTCTTAAAATTTCAGAGAGAGAATTATAATAAATTGCAAACATCTAAATCTCTTTCCTTACCCTGTTTTTCCTAATTGTGCCTTAATGACACTTAAAAGTAGATATTTATAATTAAAGTGTTTTAAAATTGATCTCCTAATTATAGAGAAGACTCAATAATATCCTTACGCAATTTAATAAAATTTTAAAAAAAATTTATTTAATTTTTTAGTAAACTCATTTCATTAAATATATATATATTTATTATCAAATATTTTATTATGTTATATTTTCAAATAATTAAAAAAAGAACCATTTATAAAGAGAAAACTCTAAACTTAACAAAAATGACCTGAATGATAAATTTAATTTAAAATAAAATATATATTCAGTACTGTTTTATTATACAAGAGTTGTCTTAAATATCATTACAAATGTATCATACATCACAAAGAAATTTTTAAAATTAAGAAGAAATAAAAATTATAATTTTTAAAAAATATATATGAAAATAATCCTTTAATTTTTTTTGATTTTATTACTTTTACCAAATAAATTTATTTAGCGGTTCCATCTGTCAAATCCAATCGGCCCGGCACCGCTCATAATAAATTTGAACCCAAAATAATTCAGATGTATATATATATATATATATTTGCAAAATAATAAATGATTTAAAATTTAAGTGAAAAAAGTTTGCACCTATGAATGTTAATATCTAACACATAAATTTCAATTTGCATGTCTTCTTATTTGTGTTTGACAACTTATATTTCATTTTTAAAAGTTGAAAGAGTGATGGCATAAATATAGAGAGTTAAGATTAGATATTATATATGCGAATATATAAGAATTGGGGGTATGCATGTACTCGTTTCAAAAAGTTAATTCTCAACCAAACAAATGAGTCATAACATAAAAATAGAATATTATTAATTGGCATTGTTGACTATTTTAGTAACTTATTAATAGATATCGTGGAGAAGATGATCTGAAAGGGTGGATATGTCGTAGAAATAGTGGGGCAAAAATTGAGTGTGCTATAGAGACAGTGTTACGAAAGGGTGAACGATTTGTGGAGGCGGTAATCCAAAGGATGAACGTTCTATAAAGGCAGTGATTCGAAATGGTGGGCCTGTCGTGGAGGCAGTGAACTTAAGAATGAGTGTCTTTTGGAGTTAATGACCCGGAGAAAACAATGATAAATGAAAAGTCGAAAAAACATTTCAAGCGAAAAAAAAAAAAAATTTCAAGAAATTCTCAGTTTATTGTTATGTCAGATAAATAAGATAAATGAGCAAAATAGTAATTCATTTTATATAATAATATTCTCTATAATTATTGTTAATTAAAGATAATATAATAAAAATATATATTTTTTTAATCATAAGAAAATGCAATTCATATTAATTTAGGAAAATAAAATATACGAGTCGGTCAATTCCCACATTTGGGCATTGCGTAGTGAGGAAGCATCGTCTAACTTAAAAGGCGATTCATATCTAATATTAGAATTTTTATTTTTATTTATATAAAAATATTTTTAAAAAACATTATAAAATATAATCTATATTAACTTACCAAAACAAAATTGAAATCGCAATGTATATATTTTAATTTTATTTAAATACTAAGAATGTATGAATAAATTAAATTAGTATTTATAGATCATGTATTTATTTAATTTAATAGCATCTTATTATAAAATTTTTTCACCTTCATCAGCATTAGCTCAGAAAAGCTCTCAGGCCTGAAACGTCTTATTTGAAATTCAGAGAACTAAATTTAAAATTTTTACTAATGTTTGAAATGTAAAATTAAAAATTTAGGCTGCCCATCCATTATATTTAAAATTTTGATAGATTATGGCGTGATTTTAATCTCAGACTTTATAAAAATATGAAATTTATCTTGAGACTTATTAAATTAAATCTTATAGCGCTCCGTAATGTCAAATTGGAGAAAATATTACATCAAGGCTCTAATATAGTTTGGGTTCGGAGTCTGATGGTGGGACGTCGCCACGTGTCAAATGCAGTGTTAAAAATGATGGATCTCACTTGACACATGACGCCCCACAATTAAACTCTAAATGCATCAGGAGTCTTGGTCTAATATTTTTTAGTCAAATTGGTACTTCTATTAATGACCGCCATCTTTACTGTACATAAAAATTTAAAATATAAAAAGAAAAACTTATGCGAAAAAAATTGAAACCTGAATAAAAAACAGAGCAGACTGATCTGGATTCTCTCTCTCCACATCCCTCCAGAAAACCAGTCCCCACTCTCTGTCCTCCCTATCGCCGGCGTCCAGAACCTCCGCCATCTCCGCCGCCGCCTTCGCGAGAACCAACCTCACACCGGCATCATTGAACCTCACCTCCCACCCGCCGTTCTCCGCCGCGCTACGACGGAGCCTTCCGGCGAGCATCGGCTCCTCCGCCAACGCTTCGCTAAATGTCTCCTTCATCCACGCCCCCACCGCATGGGCCGAGTTATCTTCGCCGGAGGCCGGCCGGAAGTATAGAATTAGCCGGAAATGAGCAGCGAAGGCCGCCAGAGGAAGATCGCCGGCGACGGAGATTTGTCGGGATTTTCCCGGCGGCGTGACCTTCGCCGGAGTTATTGATTGGAAGGCTTCTATGGAAACGGGGGAGGTCATGATGGTGGGCGAAGCAGTGCGGGGAGGGGAGATCGGCAGGCGTGTATTTAAGGATTTGAGGGAGGGACGGGGGGATTATTTGTGGGGAAATATTACGATTTTGCCATTAAGGAGGACTTGAAGCATTTTAATTTACCTTGTTTGGTGTCCATCTTATAGGGAAATTTCAATTGTATTTAAGAATTGAGGGATAACATAGCCCATAGGTGGGGATTACAATTAACTTCTTAAATGTGTCTTTTTGAGCGTGGGCCCTTTGAATTTATTTTATTTTAATAAATTTTATTCATGGTTTAATTACGATCAATTTAATAATTTTACATTGCAAGTTTGATAGAACTCTCAATAGTTGTATTTTTACCCATGTGCATGGTTTAAATCTCTTCCCCCTCTTTATTCATATCATTTACTAATTATTAGTTATATGGGGTCCTCTTCCTAAAGTTTGTCATATATTCTTAATAAAAAATTATTGGGCTAATTGTTGTGTGTTAGCTGTAATGATGCTGAGAGCCAAGTTAGTGATCCGTGTATGATGGAGCGCCACAGCAGCGATCCGTGTATGATGGAGCGCCACATCAGTGATCCGTGGGCATGGACGATGGTTTGCCGTGTCAGCGGTTCGCGGGATGCAGGATCGTACGACAGAATGAGGGAGCGACCCGATTGATGCCAAAGAGTTATGCATCGAGATCCATTAACAAACCAATATTGGACTGTTTTTAATTTTTATCTTTTTTAAAGGCTATTTTGAGTCAATAAGTAGGGTTAAGAGAGAATGATGGAGATGGAGACCTACTTGTGTGATCAATGGAGCAACCAGAAAAGAAGGGTGGAGTTTCTCGGTGTGCTAGCAAAAGATCAATGAGGCTCTCAAAAGAAAAAAAAGGTGAAGTCCTTGCGACTTGCTAGCAGGTGATCAATGGCTCTCCCAAAAGAAAAATGACGGAGTCCTCTGATCTGCTTGCGCGATCTATTGAGCTCTTAGAAGAAAAAAAGGAGTCCCTCGGCCTACTAGCAGGCCATCAACGGAGGCTCCCAGAAGAAAAAAATGTATCCTTCGACTACTATTGTTGTCGTGCTTTAAGGAAGAAATTTTTTTTATTGTTGTGACACTTTTCAAATTAGACTTTTCATGTTGGTATCATGTTTTTTGGAAGAAAATTTTTATGTTGTTGAGATATTGATATATGAAGAGTCTCATCCCCCTTAAAATCTGCAAAAATGTTAGAATATTAAGAAGGTGATGACAATGCCATTTGAAGATTAGTTGACCCTTTCTTCGAGGTCATGGGAGATCAGGCTTATAATGATCAACAATATCCTTGGTGAGCACAAGAAAGATAGCTCATCCATCAGAGTGTGGAAACCTTGTTCGTTTGTCAAGTGAGGATGTTCACTTTTGAAGAAGAGAATATGAAGTTGCAGACTTTCGACGATAAGGAGGATGTCATAGTGGATTGACGCCTTTATTTACGATGTCTTGTTGCAGGTTTTGTACCAGTATGTGTTGGCCTTTATATCCTTTTAGTCGCCTGATGATACATTTGTACATCTTTTATCTATTTGTCTTTCATTTGCTCGATATTGCAAAAAAAAAAATTATTTTATTTTATAAGTCGATTTTGTCTTTCTTTCTGAGCTGCGGTTGCCCCATCTCCTGAGCGATTACAAGATGTTATTGCCCAACTTCTGAGCCGATGTCATTCGACTTCTCGCTGTTGCTAAGATTTTTTAGCCATAGCGTGTCCGCTCGATAATCACAACCAACAGTGGAAGAAGCCAATTGTAATTCATTAAGGTATAAAATTTGTCCTCGGTTGTATAGTCAGAGACTCTGGGCAGAGCGCAGGAAACGTCGGCCCGACCGACTCGGGACTAATTGCCTAGTCTCAGCCCACTTGTCCAATAAAAAATAATATAAACATATAATATTTATATTATATTTATATTAATATAAACTGATAAAAAAATTATTATATATATACACATATTTACACGCACAACTATATATATTCTATTTTTGGGCGGCTGTGTGTATGTATTTTAAGTATATATATATATATATGCTTGTGTGTGTGTGTATGCATACACCAACAAAAAAATTGCAAAATTTCGATATTTTTGGATGTTGAAGTTGAACTCATCCAAAAATAGGGGGCAACTAGATACTATTACACCAAAAATAAATTTTCATCATCTGGCACGAATCTCGTGGCATGACACAGATCTCGAAGTAATTTTTTAGCAAGTTGTTCAAATTTTAATTAGAAGTCATCCATAAATCTGATTTCAGCAAATGTATAGTCAAATTGACGACTAAACAAGATAGACCTAACAACGTCAAAATCAACTCAAAAAAAGCCCAAATCATGTTATTTAACCACTTTTAGAAACTTTCAGTGCATAATTCAAAGGACCAACAGATTTTGAATCTAATAAACTTATGGTCAAATTGAGAGTCTCAACAAGATCAATTCAACAAACCCAGTATCACTCAATTCCAACTTCTTTAAGACACTTAATTACCCACAAAAGAACTGGATGATTGAAGGAATATCTCTAGACAATTCAATCAAAGTGGTGTGGATTTCTTTCTTATTAGTAATATGGACTTTATAAATAGAGCTCTACACACTATTGAGAAGGGACTAGATCCTAAGCTAGAGGAAGGCCAAAGCTCGGAGAAGAGAGAGCCGAAGTCTAGTATTGTATATCAATGATTCGAGGAAAACTTCCAGCTCTTGCAACCGCTGGCTACCGTTTGCAGCCATCTTCCTCTCCTTACAAAGAAATACAATGTAAAGCGATAACAGAAGTTGCGCAATCACGTTGCAAACTACGAAGCATGCATCATCTTGAACATCAGGCCGCCCCTGAAGGTGGTGTACTAAAGCTCCTGCAATTACTCCCCACTGCGATCACTCCCTAACATAAGACAAAGAGTTCTTCTACGCACGAAAGTTGTACCTCAAGAAATTGAGTAACTTGTTTCTGTTGTGGGACAAGAGACTGGGTAAAGCCTCGTGGTTTATTCCCTTTACATAAAAACTTATTGTTTCTCTATTGGTTTTCTACTTTTTTCATAGTGTTTGTTTGATTTTTGTACAATGCAAAGACAATAATTCATTACTCTAACACCACAAATGTTCTAGCACCCATCAAAACTATATATTATCCATGCATTACCTTATTAATACTCGTAATCATTCTAACATTTTGCCTCCTTTATTTCAAATAGAGGATCATATCCCAAAAAGGATATTGAAGAAAATATTGAAACAAGTAGAAGCTATTATTAATCAAACAATGCATCTTTTATTTCTCTCTATAATTTTGTTAGTATCGTCGGGTTGAATCCAATAATTTTTTAAGTTATGAGAATTGTTCCATTCAGATTTCGTTTGAGAAGACGATACACCTCCTTTGCGTTACCATGAACTTCGACACGTATAGAAAAGTTTTAGTTTGATGAAACAATCTCTGTTGGACTTCTCTCAAAATTATCTCACAAGAACCGAAACTTTACTCTAAAATCCATTTTAGAATAGAGGCCACCTTCTTTGTTTCCGCTGAAGTGACTCGAAGGAACCAAATAGGAAAGCTCATTCCTTAAGATTTTAAATATTTAAAAAGCGCTTCCCCGGCCAGAAACTTCAAATAATACTTGTTAGCACCACATGTGCCGGCCATAGTTGCACGTCAAATTCATGCTTAAATTAGAAACCTCGATACATGGTTCAAATATCAATGAATTGATTCCAACCCCACAAGCTAACCGGCTTCCATTCCTGCATTGCAGGAGCTTCGTAATTTCTATCCATTTGAATTATCATCGCATTGTAACTTGGGGGTCACTGTTTTTAAGATATGTTTTCATGCGTGCAAACAATCTATCTGTCATTATTTTTTACATGGGGATTTTATATACATACCACCTAATTCCTATATATTTACATAAATATATATATATATAACACGCGAATGTTATTTTTTATATTTATACCTCTCAAATCATTCATATCACATGAAAACAAGCTGGTATATAAGCTTTTAAAAAGTGAAAATATTTTTTTCATGCATAGATAAGGCGACATATATGTAAAACTTGAAGTTCATATGTTAGATATGTAAATACGTAAGCGTGGGCAAAGCTACAACTAGAGGTGTAAACGAGCTGAATATGAGAAAGCCCACACTTAGCTCGTGTCGGCTAGCTAAAAAATATTATTGTTTGTGTTCGGTTCGTTTATATTTTGAACACCAAGAGTGTGTTCGTGTTCAATTCTTTTGTTTAGCGAGCCGAACACAAACTGTTCACGAACAAAGAGACATTTTGACAACCCTAATCATGCGGTAGTTTTTTTAAATTATTTAAATATAATTTAATATATTTTTATTATATTTTTTAATTAATAATTTTAATTGATCATAAATCTTCGTAGCCTTGTAGTCAATTAATTTTTTTTTTAAAAAAAATTAAAATTTCACTTGAATGTACTTTAATAATTTTTATTCTATTTTCTTAATTAATTCTTTTAATTGATTATAAATGCCAATTAAATTATATATATATATATATAATTGATGAGTGGTATTTAGAGCTCAAATGAGCCGTACTTAACGATTAAATCTTTGTTCGTGCTCGACTTGTTTATATATCGAGCACAAAAATAGTGTGTGTTCGGTTCGTTAACTTAGTGAATGAATCAAATAAGAGATTCTTAACGGGCTGAACACGAGCTGTTCGTGAACAACGAACCGTTTTGACAGTCGTAACTACAACTTGGGAATTGCAGGTTGTGCCCAATATACATATTCTCCAGCTTCCGAATTGCGAGTTATAGCCATAATTGAATGCTATAGTAGCATCAATTGGTCGTAGAGATCGTAGTTGATGACTGCATAACATCAATTGACCATATAAGCCATTGTTGAAAGCTGTAATAACGTTAGTTAACCACAGAGGTTGTAGTTAGTATATGAAGCACTTCTCCCAAGAAGAATGTAGTTATAATTTTCTGAACACTGCATTTATCTTTACACGATGTAAAGGAAAACACGGGTCGTAGGAACATCTGTTGTATTATGGCTATGACAGTCGTAGGCAGTGTTCGCTGATGGCTAGTGGTTGGCGGCGGCTGGTGGCGATGGCCCGTGATGGTCATTGATGGTTCGCGACTACAAAGATTGAATTTTATCACCAAGTCTTCAATACATCACAACTATATTTGGGATA